AACTGAACTCAGTTCTTTCTGATTTCCAAAACCATAAACTATGTTATGTTGACTTCGTCTTTCCAAGAGAACAAAATGTATAAGACCGTAGCACTGGGACTACTTTTAGGAACCCAAAGGAATGCTGGGAAGTCCTAGCACATGGTTCATACCAACAGGTTAACCTTCCTTGACCTGAGATGCCTTGTTAAAAACTGGCCATGTACGTATGACTCCACTGGGAGTTAGGACTCCCTGAAGATTCCCCCAAGTCCTTCCCTGCCACTGGGGTGGCTCACTCCAGAGGTGGGGAAGTTACCTGTTCCCATGCTGTCTCCAGTAAACTTCTATGTCTAAACGGGGAACTTTCAGGGTAGAAGTGAAATAGCTTATGAATATTCTAGCTCTCCCAAGCCTATGGATTCTTCATTTATTTAGCAATTATCTTTTGAGTGGTCCAGACACTGGAGGCAAGCACTCTTCTGAAGGGTCAGAATTCTAGAGGTGAGCAAGGTCCTTGTCCCCAGGAAGCACCCATCCTGGTGGGAAGAGGCAGCCAATAAACAAAGAAGCAAGCAGGTAAGCAGAATGCCAGATAATGAGTGTATGAAGGAAATTAAAATCTACTGTTAGACAGAGTGACTGGGTGACTATCTCAGCAAGGAAGGCCTTTCTGGGAAAATATTTACTTAAATGACAGGAATGACATATATGCCCCCAGAGACACGCCCTTCAAAACAAGCCCGGGTTCCTGTGTGCTCCATCCCTCACACAATTTCCATTCCAATCCACCATTTATTTACAAGGAGATTTTGCCGTCCCAGAAGCAGCACAAGAAAGAACCCAAGAAGTCTTCTTAGTCCCATGGCATTATTTTAGTGAGGAGAAAAGAAAAATGTAGAAAAATTAAAAAACCAGATCCCACGGCTAGTTAGCAGCCTGACCAGTGGCTGAGAGTCCTGTCTGTAGCCCATATTTCTCCTACAAATCCACATTTCTCCTGGCTGTTTTTTTGTTTTGTTTTGTTTTGTTTTGTTTTGTTTTGTTTTGTTTTGTTTTGTTTTATAGAATCTTGCTCTGTTACCAGGTTGGAGTGCAGCAGCGCGATCTTGATTCACTGCAACCTTCACCTCCCGGGTTCAAGCAGTTCTCCTTCCTCAGCCTCCCAAGTAGCTGGGACTACAGGCACGTGCCACCACGCCCAGCTAATTTTTTTATTTTTATTTTATTTTTTTTTTCTTTTAAGATGGAGTTTCGCTCTTGTTACCCAGGCTGGAGTGCAATGGCGCGATCTCGGCTCACCGCAACCTCCGCCTCCTGGGTTCAGGCAATTCTCCTGCCTCAGCCTCCTGAGTAGCTGGGATTACAGGCACGCACCACCATGCCCAGCTAATTTTTTGTATTTTTAGTAGAGACGGGGTTTCACCATGTTGACCACGTTGGTCTCGATCTCTTGACCTCGTGATCCACCCGCCTCGGCCTCCCAAAGTGCTGGGATTACAGGCTTGAGCCACCACACCCGGCCTATTTTTATTTTTAATAGAGACGAAGCTTCACCATGTTGGTCAGGATGGTCTTGATCTCTTGACCTCGTGATCTGCCTGCCTTGGCCTCCCAAAGTTCTGGGATTACAGGCATGAGCCACCTCGCCTGGCCTAGCCCCTGCTTATCTGTTCAGTGTTCAACTCATCCCTGTAGAATCTTGACCCTGGTGCCTGCCTCCCTGGAGTCCACTGACACTAAATCCTCCCTAGACCAAGGGACCTTCTGAAGCAGCATTAGGCATCTTAAGGATGATGTCCTGGGGACAAGGATAACAGTGGAAGGACCAGTGCAACTTCCCATGATGCAATGTCACCACAACCCATCCATTCCCTGGAGCCACGGCGAGCTCCTGCCATCCTCCCTGCCCACAAGTCAGCCCTAACAGGAGCCTCCAAGTTGGGGAGCTGCATGGCTCTATGACCTCAGTGAACACTAGACATCTATCTTCCAAAGTGTTCCCTGGTTTAATCGAATCGATATGAAAACATTCTATTCTATTATCTTAACCCCTCCTAAAATGCCTTACAAGATTAACCACAAAATTCCTTTAAATAGCAACTTCCTTCAGTATATGTAAAGTATGATCTATAAAAATGCAATCTTCACAAAGATTTTCTCCTCCCCCTCCCCACAAAACAACAGCTATCATACCAAGGGCAATAACACAAACTTGGATTGTTAATGATAGATTTTGGGATTATTTTATTACGTAATGATTCTCATACATGCTACAAATATTTATTGAACTGCTCTAAGAAATATGCTCTTCCGGTTTGCCATGAGGACACAGTAAGATAAAGACACAGCTTCTGCTCTTTGGAAGCATGCATACGCACAACTCCAACACGAGACAGATGTGACAGGTGCTACCACCGACGTACAGACAAAATCTACAGCGACAAGGGAGTGTGAGATTTTTATCTCAGTCAAAGATGAGGGAAGGAAGCTGCAATATTTTAATGGAGTTTCAAAGGATGGTAATGATTATATAATTGGATAATTCATTCTAGGAAGAAACATCATGATGTGTACAGGGGACAGGACCTCCAAAGGCACATTCTCAGAACAGAAAGCAGCCCAGGGCAGCTTAATTGTGAGACAGGAAATCATGAGGAGAAGGCAGGCTTGGAAGGTAGACCAGAGCCTTGAATGCAAGAACAGATAAAGTTTAGCCCCAGTCTATAAACCACAGAAGGCTCGAGTGATCTCTGGGCAGAGAAAGAACATCACAATCAGAGTTGTGCTTCAGGAAACTCATTCTGGCAGCCATAGTTTGGACTAATCTGAAGGGGTAAAGACAGGGGCCAGGGACAAGCAGGCCCACTTAAAAAATTATCGCATAGTTCTTGGATCATATATAAAGTAAAGAATAAATTCAAGAGCTAGAATAAAAGTAGAATTGGTAAGGGAAGGGATCCAAACACTAAGAAGGAGGGGCTAGTTCTGGAAAGGGGTTGGGGGCACATGCCTCAGATTCCAGACTCAGGAAGAGGAGTCAGTACGACCTGAAGGTGAGTGGTGTCTCTTTAAGAAAAGGCAGTTGTGAGATGCCTTCTCCTGCTTGAGACACTAATTGTGGGCCTACTGCAAAAAAGCTGCCTCTTCTGGACATCTCATGAGCCACCTATGAAGCCTCAGTTATTAATAGCTCCTCTTCTGGAGACAGACAGAAGTGCCTGTTATACATGAGGAGTCCAGAACACTTCTTAAATTATGACGTCTCCACAGCAGCAGTGAAAGCAGCTTGATTGGAGTGAAGAGCAGAAGCACAGGGAACAACCATTTCTGAACAAATGATAAGTCCGTGGAGGGAGGGCAACTCTAATCAAGAACGTCAGGCCAGCCAGGCGCAGTGGCACGCGCTTCTAATTCCAGCACTTTGGGAGGCTGAGGCAGAAGGATCACTTGAGCCCAGGAGTTCAAGACCAGCCTGGGCAACATAGTGAGACCTCATTTTTACAAAAAATTTAAAAGTTGTCCAGGCATGGTGGTGCACACCTATAGTCCCAGCTACTTGGGAGGCTGGGGTGGGAGGACATGTTGAGCCCAGGCTTTTGAGGTTGCACTGAGCTATGATAGCACCACTGCACTCTAGTCTGAGTGACAGAATGAGACCCTGTCTCAAAATAATAATAGTAATAATAATAAGCTGGCATCGTTTAAGCCTTATGGTTGTGCCCTATCTGATAACAGAAAATGCATGATAGATTGAGGTCTTTCGGCTTAAAGAGTTAGATCCTGGATTCTACTGCCTGAGACTTACATACCTAGTTTCTGGGGCGAGTGTTTACACATTCACATAACTAGCTGTCGAGGGCTCTCTGTGATGAGGTTGTGAATTTCAGGAAGTTTATCTCTGGCCTCATTTTCTGGTAACTCTCTCTAGAAATATATCACTGGATTTCCATCTAGGCAGAACCACGCTAACATTTTGAAGCCTGTTCTCAGCCAATTGGCCCATGGAATCTGTGGAAGTTGTGTTAAACCAGTTTTCCCAACATGTTTTCACAGAATATGAGTATCATGAACAAAGGGGTCTTGAGGTAGAATAATTTTGGGAAATTCCATTCTAAATAAAATTAAATGTTTCTTTCTTGTAAGATACCTCTGAATTTTCAAGGGTTAGACTTGTTTTAAGACTCTCGTTGAGTGAGAAACAGTAGGTAGCAACTCCCAACTTTATTTATCTGTAAAACTATTTTTCAGCAAAATGTCTTGAGAGACAAGAGCACTGTAGAACATATTTGGAGAAAAATCGGTGATGACATTACTCTCACTAATATTTGTATTTAACTGGGAACCTGGAATGATAAAATTCTAATATGAATTGAGTGCTTACTATGTACTCAACACTTCACATATACTTCATCCTCATACCTGTTGGTACTATTATTATTATTTCCATTCTATAGATGAGAAAACTGAGGCACCAAGTAGTGAAGAGATTTGCCTAAGATCCTAAATAGAGCTGGGAACTGGATCTACAGTCTGGTGCCACATAAATTAATTTCTGATGGTAGAATTTCAAACACTGTGATCAACTGGCAGTGGAAGAGATTCTGAGCAGAGCTGCATGGAAATCCTTCAATCACAGTAAGTCTAAACCTTTCTTTTTCACAAATTCATCTTTATAAGCTCCCCAGGCGCTCTCTAGGACACAACTTCTGAACTGTACCACTAATTCGGTTTCTTTACCAAATGTTATATACACATAGTCTTCCACGAAAACAAAGTCATGATTCAGAGAGCGATGCAATTATCAGTAACAAGTGGTAACACATAAAGAAAACAATCTCTTGATGAACCAAAACAGCAAGTAAATGAAGACAGAAGCTTGAGAAATGTCTTCTGTGTATCAAAGTATTGATCCCTTGCTCCACAAGTCTAGGGACAAAAACCGAAGGACCACTTTCCTTCAACTGTTGCAAAATTTCACGTCTCTACTTTGCTCGAGAATTATCAAAGACATGTCTTACCCTCTCCCACTTCCTCTCCTTGTTCAGAAGAATTATCACCAGTTTCGGGTGCATCTGGTAACCATCTTCACTGAAGGACAGATTCCTCCCCTCAAAAGTGACGTTGATAAGATACCTGTAAAGATAAAATAAAAGGAAGATTATAAGTATGAAGAGGGTCTACCATGAACAAGGCAGTTAGGTATATACAGAGAAAGCTGGCTGGAGACAGACCAGTAAATAGCAATACAGACACCATTATCAAACTTGGTATTCCTTGAACTCCCATTTGATTATGCAATGGAGTCATCCCAGTTTTCACATACTAGGAATCATCTGAAAAAAATCATATAAAAATTTTACATAAAAGATGTTTGGTCACTGCATGTTCTCACTTACAAGTAGGAGTTGAACAATGTGAACACATAGACACAGGGAGGGGAATAAGATACACTGGGGCCTGCAGGCACAGAGGTGGGGAGACAGAGAGCATCAGGAAAAATAGCTAGTGCATGCTAGGCTTAATACCTCAGTGTTGGGTTGATAGGTGCAGCAAATCGCCATCGCACGCGTTTACCTATATAACGAACCTGCACATCCTGCATATGTACCCCAGAACTTAAAATAAAATTAAAGATAAAAATTTTTTAAAAGGTGTTTGGTTTAAGTTCAGTCCATTGGTATGACTGAGCAAATTACTCAGCCTTCCTGAGCCTTAGCGTTTCCCTATCTGCAAAAACTAGAATAATAAAAGGGACCTACTTAATTAGGTTTGTAAGGCTTAAATGAGATAGCAGGTTAACCACTTACCATGCGGTGTGGTGCACAGCAGAGTCTCATTAAGTGCTAACAATTGTTAATGAAAAACAAAGGAGAATTAAAGGATAGGGGTAGTAGAGACGAGAAATGAAAGTAGGAATGTACCAAGATGTCTTTCTGCTTAAGAAATGTGGCATGTAGGAGCTCAGGGTCTCTATCCCAGAAATATGCACATACTCTTTAACTCTTACTAAGGTCTTGCCAAGTCCATACTTCTAAGGGTTGTGAGATGAGTCCAGTAAGCAGGGATGTGCTATGACAGGATGCATCTGGAAACCAGGGTTATGACACTATGTATATGGAACAGAAAATACTAAGGAATCAGGAAAGGAGGGAGAGGCATTTCACAGAGTGCTTTGGTTACTTGTGCATAGATTAACAGAAACTCTGGAGGTAACAAGAGTCAGACCAACAAAACTGTCTTCCCCCAGACACTTTCACTTTAGCCCACCCTTTTCCCCTCTGCTGCTGTCATCTGATGAGCAGTCCCTTCATTGGGAATTCCCAAAGGCATGCTCATTACAACTGCATTAGTGCAACTGCACTGATGGTAATTAATGTCCCTTTACCATAATGGCCCAAGAATCAATAATGATTATCTGTGTTCACATGACATGCTACTCTGGAGCCTTGGGCCTGATGTTGCTTTTGAGACATGTCCCTGCTAAGAAGCAAAAGGGGTATCTTGTAATTGCAGTGAGGATGCTGAAGAAGGCAGCTTAAAGATTCTTCTTTTAAGTCCTCTCATTTAATGAAACTGGGAGTCTTCACTGATTCTTCCAAGTAACATTAGGTTAAACAACAAGGTTGCTAGGATACATATCCTTCTGGTGATTCTAATGATGCCCATGCACCATGAACCAAACCCTCATGGCTCACTTCTCACTTCCAGAAGTACCTGGGATGTTTAAGCCTGTCATTCCCTGGTCTTGTGTAACTTCACAAATGCAATCAAGAACACAGAAGACCCCAAGAGAGTAGTGATGCCTAGAATCTTAGAATTGAAAGAGTATTTCATAATCAACTAGACTACCACTTTAACTACAGTTTATGCTTCCCTTCTAGATTATAAAATTGGTCTTCTCAGCTCTTCTTGAATTCTTTCACTGATGGGGAACTTTTCATGGCACCTTCTGGGCTCAAGGTAGCCATCTCAGTACTGGCTACTTAAGTTTTTTCTTACTTAAAGTTGAAACCTTCTCCCCTGCAACCCTTAAACACCTGTTTTCTCTTTAGAGATTCTGCAGTCTTTGTCTAATCCTCCTTCTACATGAGAGTTCCTCAAGTATTTGAAGACATTTATCATACATCCCTTATGAAATCAATTTTACTCTTTAAAGAACTGTTAAACTCCTTTAGTTTCCTAATTTTAACTTGATGGATTAAAAAACAAGCACAAGGAGCTTAAAATATTTGTCCAATGTTATCATATGGCAGATGCATCTGACAGCAATAATTTAAGCATACCTTGAGAATGACCCTACAATCTAAGAAAAATATATGTTCGGAGTCCTAAGCTAAAGAATCTGGGAATAGCCAACCCAGAGATTCCCTTTTTAATCTATGAAGGACATCTGAACCCCCAGTTCATCCCTTGGAATGCAGGCCATACAGGAGATCAAAGCCCTTTGTTTTGGGTTAAATGAAAGTTTAGGTGAACGTTGCTAAATGAAAATGCTATATAAACTGCATGCATTTTACAAATGGTAGCAGTTCTCCTGCCTAGCCCACCACCACTGGATTGTCCTTGTATGTGAGTTCCCCCAGTAAATGTTGTATCTCATTCATTGTCTCTGGGTCTCTTCTTATGCCTTTCAGATATGATGCCATCACTATTGGAGTCAATAAGGGTCCAGTATGACAGTTACACAGCTAACTGAGAGCAGAAGTAATATTTTAAGCAATAGCTCCAGTTCCATGTCCTTTCCTGACACCAACCAGATTCTCATACACAACATCAGGCTTAGCATCCCAAATCCTTTACATAGTTCTAATATGCCACGCTTCACGTTTTCTACCATATCAACCCGGCTGCTCTCTCCAGGCACCTTCACTCAGTGCCATGTAGCATTCCCGACACAACTCAATGCTCCATCTGCTCCTCTCCTTGCCCTGCCCCTCAGCTCTCAGTGCAGAGCTGCTCACCTAAGCCCATCATTAGTGTAAAACTAAAACTCGGGTTTCCTATAGTTTGCAATGACTACAACACTCCAACCAAAAGCCCTGAAGAATTCATTGCAGAGAATATAATTACAAAACCACAAGACAGGGTATTTTAAACCAACAAACTAGAAGGTAACCACCAATAAAATTTACTTGGAAGTGTATTCTTACTACAAAGACCCTGAAAAATTTCTGGAGCCTTCAGATAAAGTTTATAAGACATGTAAAACAATTTGATCTCATCTATTTTGAAGAGAAGAAGGAAATAAGGAAAAAGGAAGGAATAAAAGGAAAGAGGAAGGAAAGAAAGAGGAAAAGTGGGAGGAAGGAAGAGAGGGATGGAGGAGAGAGGGATAAGGAAGAAGAAGAATGGGAGGGAAATAAATTATCTGGCTTAAGCATCCACCTTTTCATCAGACACTGTGCTGAATAATTCTGCCTTTATCTAAAACACCATTAAGAATATTTAAAGGAATGTATCTATTTCTGAAGGCAATTATAAAGAGACGTTCCAGAAATAATTCAATTATTAAGCAGTATCAGTGGAATAACTATATAGCTTCTCAAGATGACTCCTTTGAAGGGGACAGCCTTGAATTGGGTGCATAAGTTGAGAAATTTTAACTTGCAGAAACTAAATCACACTCATGGGCAATGTAATTGGTCTGCAAATTTCTCTGGTTATTCCAGTTCCAGCACCTTCTGATTTTCCTTAGAAGCTGTTCTTTTTCTGGGGTGCTCCCCCTCGTCCAGCTCTGTAAGTTCATTTTATCTACTTAAGCACTCCTCACATATTTTACACTTATCAAAAACATTAATAAAATTTTATGACAATATATGGAATATTCTTCTCCAAAGCATCCTTTCATCATTCATTTCTGTCAGCAGCATATAGATTAATCATTCACACTGTGTTTTTCTGAGTAATTTCTTGTGGTATGAGTACATTTAGCCATTAGTGAGGAGCTTGCAAATATATACCAGCCTTGAGCAAGATGCCCTTTGAATAGCAGAACAAACCCATCCGTTCATTGGTAATGAAAAGTGTGAAAAAATAATTGGGGGTGTGGTCACTTCTAGACATGTGATCTTGGCACCTGAATCTCAGATATTCTTCTCTAAAATGGAGACATCATTTTACCTCCGGCTTATCAGAGAAGCCTGTTGTGATGATCAAATGAAAGAGTGGATAGAAAAACTCTATAAAATTTGATACAAATATAAGGTTACTTAATAGAAAAAAATAAGAAAAAGAACGTATTAGCATGATTTTAGTATGTAAAGGCAAGAAATTTGCTTGATTTTAAACCTCAGTGAATAAGTGTATAACTACATTTTAGCAGGACTCAATTATCAATGAAATAACATCTGAAAAATGGAGATTGGCTTCCACATATGGAGGCTAAACTAGGTCAAATGGTTATATTAATCAATTTAACTTTCCATAAGACCTGAAAATATCCAACTACCCTTGGATCTGGCTGTATTTTGTCAATTTTTAATATTAATTAGAACTCCAAAACTTCCATGTGTGAATCCTGGGTAAATGATTAAATTATAATTAAGATTAAGAGATGCCATGCCTATTCTATTTCTCTCCAAACATGTCATCCTCAAGTACACAGACAGAAAGCCTTGCTTCACGTGGCAGCCAAACTCAGAAGTTCTGCCCATCAGGCCAGAATCCTTTGGAAGTACCATCATGGTTGGGTATGTGTGTGTGTGTGTATATATATACACACTCACACACACACACACACACATACATACACGTACATTTTAAGTTGCTGGATTTGTCTCTAGAATGTAGTTTGAAGCTCAAGAAACCAGATGGTCTGCCTCATACAGTTCTAATGTTACATAGAATCTCACATTGCTAGAACTAGGAGAGAACTTAGAAATTATCCATTGAGAAACTTCATTTTAGAAAGGAGAAAATAGGTCCCAAGATGCAAAACGACTTTCCCAAGGTGACCTGTCTGTTCAGGACCGGAGCCTTCCGATTCTCATCTCAGGGTCTTTTCATGATCACCAACTGAAGTGAAATCAGTTCCACAGAGCTCCAGGTATGCATTTTAGCATTTTTGCATCACAACTGTATGTCCTGGACTATATAAATCCCTAATACGGACTGCATAAAGCAAAATCTATCTT